TCATTCAGTGGATGTAGCACACATTTTCCTTCCTTTAAAATCTTTCCCATTGATGGTGAGTGAGAAATTGTTTGTTGAGCAACGTTTAATCTTTTTGCAAGTTGTTTTTGAGTTTGACACGCATCTTCATCCAATAATGCTTCTAATTGTTGGTCTTCAAACTTTTTCAGTTGACCTGGATATCTTTGTCTTTCACATCAAAATAATCACTTTTAAAGCATTTAAAGTAAAGTTCACAAGTATCTTGAGATAAAGCATGATCACCATAAGCTTCCCGAAGTATACAAAAACTTTCTTCAAAAAGTACTTTTCTTCAAAATAATGATCTTTAACTTCCCGCAAATGCTCTTTTTGGCACAAAATTCGACATTTTTATGTGTAAAAATATCTATGATGTTAACACCTTCAGCAAATTTGAAAGATGGGGATTTGAAGCTTGTTGTCAATACAACAAAATAGCATACATATCAAATTGCACATACATCAACATATGTATAACTCCATCTATTGAAAAATATCTGCATTATTAACGGATACACCTAGTATGCATGGGTTGTGGCTCGATCCCGTGTAGGGCATGCAAGAAAGAGGCAGGCAGCAATAGATGATTCTCTCTCATCACTAATGTTTCTATCTCTCTCTCCCTCTCTAAAATCAATACATACATATATAATAAATATAGTTATGGGGGGAAAAATCACAATAAAACAAGTGTATGTGCTGAATGTTTCCATATTGGGAACAGAAGTTCTTTTGATATATAAAAAAATAAAATCAGAGTCTAACAAGATTAAAATAATAAAGAAAGCTAGTATTAAAACTATTGGTCTACAAGTTAGTATTACATGGTAAGACAGCACAATATAGGCACTCAAAATTTATCATTATTAACCTACATTTTATTGTATACAACTCACCTTAATATAGTTAATCCACTTCATAAAATATCAGAAGTTATCATTTCAACTATATTAACTAGGAAACATGTTCTTAAAGGGTAACCAATTTACTCAGAATTGATTACTTGGCTCATGAGGTACTGTCTCCCTCCAAAGTTCATACTCTCTGTTCCACACTGACTCCCAAAACAGTTTGGTTTTTTTTAAATATCCCTCAATTTTTCTATTTTATTATTATTTTTTTAATCCTCATTCGAGGATATTTTTTCCATTGATTTTTAAAGAGTGTGGAAGAGAGAAGGAGAGACAGAGAAATATTAATGTGAAAGAAACCATTGATTGGTTGCGTCCTGCTTGAGCCCTGACCAGGGCCTGGGCCAGAGAGAGCCTGCAACTACGGTACATGCCCTGGACCGGAATCGAATCGGGACCCTTCAGTCCCCAGTCTGACACACTATCCACTGAGTCAATTGAGTAGGGCAAATTTTCTATTTTAACTTAAAAGATCATTCCTTTACACATCTTCCAACTTGGCTCAACTCTATACTATATGCTGGCACCACAATCACTCAAGGAAACTTTATCTCAGAAGCTCCACTTTGATGTCAGCGGCACCTATCCAGTCCTTGGACCAGCATACAGGAGACACAATGCAAACAGTGGAAGGATGAGATGACACTAATGAGAATGTCTTCAGTCTACTGACAGTTCACCTTTTTGGGGTGGCTTCTAACCCCAGCCAAACTTCACCAACCTTGCCAAAATGGTTAGTATAAATCAAGCAAGCTTTAAACATATCTCTTCCCTCTGCCTTTTTTAAAAGGAAACAAATTATTGTTTAAAACAATGTTAAGTGTCATAAACAGATCAGTTAAGATAAATGATTAATGAAAAGAAATAACACTTAGCTTCAATGAAACCTGTCAGGTAAGTCATAACTAGAGCACACCTTCTTGTAAAATAAGCACACTTCTCGGAACATGTGTCTAGGGTTTCTGTATTTCTAATATTTCTGAGTGAAACCTTGAGAGAAAAACTGTTGCCAAGTTGTCTGTCTTCTAGTCAATATAAATGAACTCTAAACTTAGAATTCTGTAAACTAAGAATATTTTGTATCTTCTGGCAATCTATTTACACTAATAAAAGAGAAACATGGAATTACCGTTACTCCACTACGCTACCAGCCAATCAGAGTGAGTATGCAAATGAACCTGAAAACATGGCGGCAGCCCCGCCCCCCCCCTGCTCTAGGCCTGTGGGGGTGGGAAAAGTCAGGTACCAGCGCCTGAGGCTGGCTGCAACCTGGGAGAGGAAGAAGCTACCTGCCCCATGATCCCAGGCCGCAGCCAACAGCAGAAGCCTCATGTCTGCCTTCCCCACGTCCTGGAGGAGACAGAGAAACTGGGTCCCAGTGCCTGAGGAGCCTGGGAGACGAAAAAGCCACCTGCCCCATGATCACAGGCCGCAGCCAGCTAGAGAATTCGCCCACACTGCATCCAGGGAAGACAGAGAAGCCACCCACCTGTGGTCCAGGTGGCAGTTCCTACAGCTGGATACAGCCTGGTAGAGGAGAAGCCACCCACCTCACAGACCTGGGCACTAGTACCTGCAACTGGCTGTGGCCTGGGAGACAAAAAAGTTTTCCACCAAGCAGTCCCGGGCACCAGCACTTGTAGTACAGCCCAGGCAAAGCCACCTTCAAACCATCCCCTGCAGCTGCAGCCAGCCTGACACCTATGGCTGATCAGAGGGAGGGAAGCCTGGATCCTGGGTCCCTGTGGTTGGCTGGAGAAGGGAATCTTGAGTCCCAGATACAGGGCCGAGGCAGAGGTGGTTAGGGACAATCAAGCCAGCAGGAGAGCAGTTAGGGACAATAAGGCTGGCAGACAGAAGTTAGAGGCAATCAGGCAGGCAGGTGAGCGGTTAGGAGCCAGCAGTTCTAGATTGTGAGAGGGATGTCCGGCTGGCGGTTATCCCCTGAGGGGTCCCAGATTGAAGAGGGTGCAGGCCAGGCTGAGGGACACCCTTCCCCTCCCCGACCCAGTGCACGAATTTCATGCACCGGGCCACTAGTCCTATATAACAAGAGAGGAATATACTGCCGAGACCGATTTAGCTCAGTGGATAGAGTGTTGGCCTGCAGACTGAAAGGTCCCAGGTTCAATTCCAGTCAAGGACATGTACCTTGGTTGTGGGCATATCCCCAGTAGGGGATGTGCAAGAGGCAGCTGATCAATGATTCTCTCTCATCAATGTTTCTAGCTCTCTGTCCCATTCTCTTCCTCTCTATAAAAAATCAATAAAATATATTTTAAAAAAGAGGAATATGCTAATTAGCCAGGATGCCCTTATGGGTAACATTTGGCAGGAGCAGTGGGAATGGCTGCGTGCACTCAAGGCCAGGCACGTGAGGCTGCGTCAAATAAAAAATAATCCATTCACACGCCCAAAGACAACAGGGTTCAAGGAGAAGGGTTTCAATTTCATTTCTCACACCCATTACTAAAAGAGTAATATGCTAATTAGACTGGGAAGCCTTCCAGGAGACCTTCCAGACATTCTTCTGGACAAAACCATGGTGGCGGGTCGAGGTAGAGGTGGTTAGGGGGCAGTTGTAGGTGATCAGCCCAGGATGGGATGGCAGTTGTGAGTGATCAGACCGGTGGGGAGGAGGGGCAGCTGGGGGTGAGCAGGAAAGCAGGAGGGGCCAGTTGGGAGCAAGCAAGCTGTCAGTGGGGGGTCAGTTGGGGGTGATCAGGCCAGTGGAGGGAGGATAGGTGGAGGGGAGGGCAGGTGGGGGGGGGCGAGCAGACCATTGGGGGAGGGCAGTTTGGGGCAAGTTGGGTGGTGGTGGGGCAGTTGGGGGTGATCAGGCTGGTGGGGGGGTCAGTTGGGGGGGCAGTTGGGGGTGAGCAGGCTGGAGGGAGGGCAGGTGGGGGTGAGCAGACCAGTAGGGGGGCAGTTGGGGACGAGCAGGCCAGCAGGCAGAGTGCTTGGGGACAATCAGGCAGTGGTTAGAAGCCAGCAGTCCTATATTGTGAGAGGGATCTCAGATTGGAAAGGGTGTAGGCCGGACTGAGGGACAACCCCACCTCCCCCTTCCCATCCCCTGTGCATGGATTTCGTGCACCAGGCCACTAGTAAATATATAAAGTTACATGTAATCACAACATATATGTAAATATATAAAGTTACATATAATCACAATACCACAAAGTTAACATCACTATTTAAACGTAAAAGTTCTTATTGTAAAATGGAACTTCAACATAATCCTATATAATAAAGAGCTAATATGCAAACTGTCATCACGCTCTTATGTCTTAAAGGCTCAGACACTCAACACTGGGGAGAGAAAAATGGGGACCAGCCAGGCACAAATGAGCTCACAAGAGAGGAATGGGGACCAGCCAGGCTGTGGCCCAGGAGAGGGAAGAGCTGCCCGCCCCGTGGTCACAGGCATCAGAGACTGCGCCTGCAGCCCAGGAAAGAGATAAGCCGCCCGCCTTGTGGTCCCAGGCACCTATGGCTGTGGCCCAGGTGAAGCCGCCCACCATGGTCCCCTGTGGTTGCAGCTGACCTGGGGGGAAGCTAGCCCAGATCCTGGGTGCCTGAGGAGGGAATCCTGGGTCCTGGGTGCAGGGTGAGGCAGAGATGGTTAGGGGAGATCAGGCCAGCAGGGGAGCAGTTAGGATCCAGTGGTCCTGAATCACAAGAGGCAGTCGGACATGCCCTGAGGGATCCCAGATTGGACAGGCTGCGGCCGGGCTGAGGGGAATCGTCGTTCCCCTTCCCTCACCGCCAAGCACCGGGTCTCTAGCTTTCAATATAATTGTTTCATTCCATTTCCTACATTCAGGTACTAAATTATAAAGTTAAATCTTGAAACCAATACATTTTACCTACTAAATTGATTTCAATCCACAACATTTAAAAAAATCATGTTTCTAAATACAGATTACCAAGTAATTTGCACATAAAAGCAAAAATTTTAACAACTAGCACTCATTTAAAATTACTACTTGTCATGAGAAATATCTCAAAGGCACAGTAAATTTCCTTGTGAACAAGAGACACCATTAATTCAGAATGGTCACTTACCACTTCTTCCAAAGCAGCACTACGCCCAAAAGAACAAGTGAGGTGTGTGAGGCAGTTCACAAAGGATGAGAAAAGCTCACTTGGAATGGCAGTTAAAACGTTTCGAGGGAACACAGTTATCAGGTTGCTGATAATGCTGGAGATCCCCACAGCTTCAGAATCTTCTATTTCAATTCTACAAACCAGGTAACAAATGTTACTAGTGATGGAAGACAAGTTACAATAACTCATTTCCAAACATGCAAAAATTTTCACCTATTCATTTTTAAAGGCATGTCTCTATATTCAATACATACAAATTGGGGGGAAAAATCACTAGTTTTTGTTCTACCACTGTTAAACATATAAACAAACCTGAAAGTTCCTTTTTTGACAAAGGGCAAGTATACCTACCCATTGATAGTACTCAGTAAACCCTCAATGAAGTGTGCTAGGTAGTCAACCTGTGCTCCTTCATCGGGGAAGACAGGTCCATGCAAAGAAGCTAACTGGGCGAGACACTGCAGAGAATCTTGTGCCATATCCGAATCTTCTCTGATTTTTCGATGTACCTGTTAGAAAGAATTACTAATTAATAAAAATAAATTCTTCTGTTGTAAGGGTCACATTACTACCATGCTGAATGAGGTAAGTGAAAACATCATAATAGCTGGTTATTTCTAGAAAATTAATTCCTGAATTAAGCTAAATTTGAGAATGTCCCTCAGTCCACTTTACATTGTAGTCCATGATTTTAAACAAATCAATTACATTTTTAACATTGAATTGTCTCCAGCATGCTATGACAAAGAGAGAAACAGATGCCAGCCAGTCAGACACAAAGCTTCTTCTAAAAACAGCAACGACAGTCATCTGTATTATGCTAGCTATGCCTCGCTACAGATCCTTGCTAAAGTTAGCAGACAAGTTCAATCAAGAGTATACAGATGCTGCTTCAGTGGAAGTAAACAGTCGCATATGGAGAAAACCAACATACCACTCAATTCCTAGACACTCATTCATTCAACAAATATAAAGCACTCTCTTAATCACGCTGAGATTGCTTAAAATTTGTTTCAATCTCATTTTATCCTACATCATTAATAAATGCTAAAATATTTAAAAATTGTATTTCAATTATATTTAAATCTATCTTAAACCTCATCTAGATTTTATTTCAATGATACAATGCAGACTTGAAACAACCAGTATATAATGTTCCTATATTGCTCCCTACTTTTACATTGTTACTAATATTCTCAGATTTTAAAAATGCTTCATTTTGCCTAGCCATTTTAGCCCAGTGGATAGATTGTCAGCCTGTGAACTGAAGGGTCCCTGGTTCCATTCCGGTCAAGGGCACATGCCTGGGGTATATCCCCATTGGTGGGCATGCAGGAGGCAGCCAATCAATTATTCTCTCTCATCACTGATTTTCCTACCTCTCTCCCCCTCCGCTTCCTCTCTTAAATAAATTATATTTATAAATTTAAAAAATGAAATAAAATAAAGATGCTTCATTTCTGTGAGCCACCTAATTAAAATAGCCAAGGAAAACAGTAAAGAATTTGTGACCATTTTCTACTTTCCATAAATATATAACTTCTTTAGCCTTTCTTTTTCTACATAAATCTCTTTGCTTTCTGAAAGTAGCATAATTTTAAACATCTATTCTCTTTTTGGTTTAGGTTATGTTCACTTTGACTCTGCAAACCATAATTATTTGAAGTCAGAACGTTTCTCTTAAGTATTCACTGGTATAGTGCTGGGATACAGTGAACAAATACTAAAAAAAAATTTATTCACCACTGATTTCATTAAGAATTAATCCCCGAACTTAAGGTTTTAAGAAATTTAAAATAATAAAAAGTCACAAAGTTAACTGATCTACTGGCATATTTTAAAATGTTTCCCCCTTTGGTCTAAAGTAGTGGATGGCAAACCATGGCCTGCAAGCCTAGTCTAGCTTCCCACCCATTTTGTATGGCTGTGGTTTTAACATTTTATATGGGGATAAAGGGGGGATAATCAAAGAATATTCAAGAAATGTAAAAATTATAAAAATCCACATTTTTACAGATGTTCATAACAGTTTTAATTGAACAGCCACACTTGTCTGTCTCGGTGTTGTCTACAGCTACTTGTATACGACAACCCCAATGGCAGAGCTGAATAGCTGCCTCAGAGAATACACGACTGCACAGTCTAAAGAGCCTTTACACAAAACGTTTGCCAATACCTGGTCTAGAACAATGCAAATGTTTTTCAAAATATATTCTATATTTTAAGTATTATATAGTAAATTTAAAGTAAACTATACAAATTCCTATGCCCATATTGTCTAATTCATGTAGTTTTGAATACAATTCATTTGGAAGTTCCTTGTCTGAAAACTAACTGAATTTCTGTCATCATGCCCTTGCATCTAACGTTAAACATGATTATCTGATGCCTATCAATGGATACAATGCAATGTGGGACAACAGTGTGTTTCTTCTCTGCCCAGAGAGCTAAATGGTTGCTTGTTCCCAGTCTAGTAGTGACAAATCAAAAGAAATAATACCTTTAATGAAATAACTAATATTGATTATGTAGTAAAATAAAAATAAGAAACTGCCCTCAGAGCCTACCAGTACTGTTCTCTGAACTATGAGCCACATATAATCAGTGATAAACCAATATCTACACTAACAATAGGGTAATATGCTAATTAGAGTGGGAGACCTTCCAGGAGACCTTCTGGAAAAAGCCATGGTGGTGGGGCCAAGGCAGAGGTAGTTAGGAGCGATCAGGCCAGGAAGGGAGGGCAGTTGGGGGTGATCAGGCTGGCAAGGAGGGTCAGTTGGGGGTGAGTAGGCCGGCGGGGGGTGGGAGAAATTGAAAGTTCGGGCAAGCAGGCTGGCAGTGGGGGGCAATTAGGGGGTGATCAGGCTGGCAATTGGGGGTGAGCAGGCCAGTGGAGGGAGCAGTTGGAGGTGAGCAGGCCAGTGGAGGGAGCAGTTGGAGGTGATCAGGCCTACAGGGATCGGGCCTAAACCAGCAGTCAGACATCTCCAAGGGGTCCTAGATTGGAGAGGGTGCAGGCCAGACTGAGGGACAACCCTCACCATGCACAAATTTCGTGATCCGGGTCACTAGTTTCTACATAAAATAGTAGGTTCATGCTTTCTTCTATTTTCAGGATTATAAGGGACTTCTACTATATCTGAATTACACTCTACACATTTAAAACTGAATTCCTCACCCAAATAGGAAAGAAGCAGAGGTATAAAGAAAAGCCAATTCTAGCAGAAAATCCAGAGAAGAATATCTAGCAGAATATCCTAACTATGAATCAGGATAAGGATGAAGACAAGGAACAGAAAAAAAACAGTGAGTGAGGTGGTGATTCCTATGGAACATGCTGACCCTGAGATGTCTGTGGGCCTTCCAAACACAAGCCTCCAGTAAGCACTAGGATTATAAGGCCTTGGACTCTGGAGTAGCCTGTGCTGAATATAGATCTAGGAGTCAGCAGTGTAGAAGTGGTGCCTGAGGTCCTATGTGGGGAAGAGGCAGCCTGCGGAAAGTGTATTCAGTCAGCAGAGTTGAGAATTGTCATAGGAATACAATTATACAAAGAACCCAGGAAGAAGAGACCCTAATTGGGGGGTGGGGGGGACGACAGACAGAAAGGCAGGAGAAAGAATTAAGGAGACTGTTTTTCCAGCACCTTATGGAAGAGAGAGAAACTGAAAAGACTATAAACTTTGAGAGGCAAATAAATACTTTAGGTTTAAAGTATTCCTAAATTCAAGTAATCAACATACTTCAAGTCTTGATTCCATAGTATATTTGTTTATCTACTCAATAAATAGTGATATCTTACGGAAACTGCTTTCAATTAGGTAATGAATCCTATAATTGTAAACTTAACAAAAACTGAATGAAATTTTAAGATTTCAACTGTCATTTTGCTAACAAATAAAATGTAAATGGCTTATAAACTACTTAAATGAAAGTAAGAGGCCACAAACACAAAGATGTTAAAATAAAAAAGTGAGCCATATCCTGTTTTCTCAGTGGTTAGAGCATCGGCCCGCAGACTGAAGGGTTTCAGGTTCACTCTGTTCAAGGTAAGATACTTGGGTTGCAGGCTCGATCCCCAGCCCTGGTTGGGGAGTGTATGGAAGGCAACCAATTGATGTGTCTCTCTCACATCAATATTTCCCTCTCTGTCCCCCTCCCTTCCACTCTCTCTAAAAATCAATTAAAAAAAAAAAAATCCTTGTGTCAGGATAAACAACAACAACAAAAAAACCATCACCACCACCACAACAAAAATAACGAAATGAAAAAGGGTTAACTTTCAAATTCAAAAGTTATCTGCACATGGTCTTTCACAGCTGACAGGAGCAGCTGTCTGGTTTGTGGAGACAGCTGTTCAGATTTAGAGTCACCATTTCCAGGCTACAGCAAGTTTTCTACCTTTTCATTAACTGCTGGAGTGGGGTCTACTCTCAGCCAAATGAGCAACATAAGATCTGAGCTTGGATCCATATCAAAACAATTTCTATCAGATGAGGAAGACAATAGAATTTTCAATTTAGTTACAATGATTTCTGATACTGACAGATCTTTGAATTATTTCTGGTTTAAAGAAAAAAGTAAAGCTAATGCTCAGTCTGAACCTTTCACAAAAATGCCTTAATTTATACACCCATGGATGAGTAACTTCGTTTCTAGAGGTTCTTAAATATATACAATATTTTAAACAGTTCAACCAAAAAAGGGGACATAGTTGTAACACTAGTACATAATATTTTTAAAACATGAAAAGGCAAGAAATTATAATTAATGGTTGGAACTAAGCAAAAATCTTTTTTTTCTTTTTAATTGGTCTTTATTTGGGTCTTTGCCCTAGTCCTTAGATCTGCCTAAATAATATGCTCATGCTATTTAAGCACTCAGCCTCCAAAACACACACACACTTCCCCTCCCCCCCCCCAGCTTCTGACTGTTATATAGTGGTTTGGACAAACATTGGACATGTTACTTACTTATTTATATTTAGCACACACACACACAAAAAGCACCATTTAAAGATATAAATTCTACGCAACAACACTAACTTCATTCACAACTGATAATTCATATATAAAAAGTTCACAACTCTAGAGGAGTTCTCAAAATGTACTCCAGGGATCCCTAAAGGTTCTTAAGACCTTGCCAGGTTATCTCGAAGGACAAAACTGTTTTCCTACAGTACTCAGATAATATTATCTTTTCCATCCTGACTGTCACACATATACACAGTGGAGCTACCCCAAAGGCTGTATGTGGTAACACTGCAACCAACTGAACAGAAGCAAGTAAGAGATTGCTGTCTTGTATTAAACCTAACATTAGATACATTTGCAAAAAATGTATAATGCTACTCTTCTCATTTCTAATTAACTTTTTTATTTGTTCATTAAAATATTATGTCATGGTTCGTTATTGCTATTTTTAAATGAATTAATAAATTGTTTTAAATTTTAGCTTGAATTTTTAATATGGTAAGTATTAACACATTGCAAACAGATCATGAGAA